TGCTTTGATATACATAAAACAGTGTCCAGGGTAAAATTTCTAAGGTATTCAAATAAATGTAAAAAAAATCCGAAATTTACACATTGCTAAATATATTACCAAAAAGCGTTCAAATCAGTTTTATTCAAAATTTAATATATCGGTGTATAAAACAGTTCTTACTAAATTTTAAAAATTAGAAATGTGTTTTGTTTAAAACCCACTCGATAAACAAACCAAGATAATGTCGGCAACAAATAATACATTAGTTATGAATAAAAATCATCAGACCGGAACTAAAATTTTCTCTACAATTAGAAAATATTCAAAAATATTTGGAGATGTTAAAAAATTAGATAAAAAATGCTATAAAATTTAAATTGAATAAAATTATCATAAAAGGTGAGATATAGACATAAAATATAGCATAAGGGACAAGAAAGGTTACGTAATATGGGCAAAATAATGAAAATCATTTAACGGTGGTAGTCAGTATACTATTTAGCCTAACATATCCATATATTTATTATAGTGGATTAAAATATATTTTTATACTTAGCTAACACGCAATATCAGATAAAATTAAAAAATACTTGATAATGTGGTGTTTTATTGAAAAACGATTTAAAACTCTTTCAAATTTTGTTGCAAAAAGTCAGTTGCCAAAGTCAGTAATAGTAAATATCTATATATATATATATATATATATATATATATATATAGCAATGTTTCCCAAAGGGCGTTTGAAGCTCAGCAAACAACGTAAAAAGGAGCGATCCCAAGCAGAAGCCGACTAATTCTCAAAAGTCTGTTATTTTGATGTTAGTTTACATGGAAAAAGTATGATAAAAATGTGAGCAACAAAAACAAGAAAAACCAAGCCTACGAGCCTCGTGTATAATACAAGTATATTCAAAACTAAGGGATTTGGAAGGCTTAGAAAACATTTGGAAGGCTTTGCACGGTATAACGTAATATGTTTTCTTGATAAAAGTTTCCGACTTCTAGCCTCACTATTTTTTCCGAAAAATTAATGGACGAGTATATTCAACACATACAAAAATACATCTCTCAAATTGCCAAATCCTTGTAGACGATAACTATTGGGACTTAACATTTAACCCAACAATATTGTAATACTGTTTGTAATTATATTTACAATATGTTATCCGTTGCAAGCACACAAAAATTGAGAAAACAATATAAAAATTTTATATATTTCAATGGGATAAAGATTAGTTATGGAAAAAGCACTCATCCACCAACTTGATCAACACACCGTATTACGATCGCAAAAAGTATTGTAAACGATTAGCCAATTGATATCAGAACAAAAATACTTATGATTATATTTTGTTGAATGTTACTAAAAAACAATGCGGTTTTTTGTGTACTCCTTGAAGAATTTATTAGAATGTAATATATGCAATAAAACCTTGCTTGAGCAGCTATGTTTGACAGAACCTGCTAGTATATATATATATATATATATATATATATACTCGTATATATATATATATATATATTTATACATGTATGTATATATAAGTATACAGTCAGTTCTACACCAAAAATTAAGTTTGATAAATAATAAAACAATATGGAAATGCAAACAGAAACTTGTAAAATTATTGATTTGAAATTAAAACCGAAAATAATTAGAAATGCAAAAAACTATTTTTTTTCATATGCCTACGTTTTAATGCTCAATGCAATACAGATTAAGGCTAAGCGTAACATAAGAGAATTTCACCAAATTAGTCATTATACAGTCAGTACTACACCAAAATTTGAAATACTTTATTAGCATTATTAAAAGTCAAAAGTAGCTAATTTAAAGTCACAAAATGAAATTGGTAGTAGGTTATTCTAGCATCCGACCTACAAGAATAAAACCGAGAATAATTAGGAATGCAAAAAACTAATTTTCTTTGTATGTCCACTTTTTAGTGCGCAATGCAATTTAGATATATCATAAGAGAATTTTACCAAATTAGTAGAATTTTTGTCATCGGAAAATGCTCAGAATTCCAACACCACATTTGGACTAAAAGTCCTCATTGACTCCATAAGGAAAAGACACCAAAAGCCAATAATACTGCTATAAGTTCTTAGAACATCGACCCATTCTGCTTTGTGGGACAAGTATAAGTTTAAAGTGAAGGTTATAGTTGGTTTTATGAGTAAAAGTTTTTTATAAAATGTTTATATAAATATAAAAAAATATTTATAAATACATAAAATTAATATGTGGATATGGATGAGGGAAACAATTAATAATATTTTTATGATGTATTTTTGACTACTGTGAGTAGTTTAGAAAAATATCCAAAGAGATCAAAAATATTTGAAAATATTTCATATTGTTAAAAAAGTATTTTATTTCGATTTTAATTGAAACAATTTAGTTGCCAAAATTAATTATCTGGAGGGAATGACCTCAGAACCTGCTGTTTGCAGCAATCATTTGGATTAACAACAATCCAAAATATCTAAGTGGTTATCAGAACGCCGAGTATTTCAGTTCTGCCTAATACAAAAATGTAAAATGAACTTAAATCAAACTGTATGTAAAATTAAATATTTTAATAAAAATATAATAATGTTACTGATATATTTTTAGAGCGCGAATGAAACTCGGCGAACACAATGACCAATCGGGTATAGATTGCAGGGACGATAAAGACTATTTGAATATATTTACTATTGTTAAAAAATTTGTTTTATTTTGATTTTGATTGCTACAATTTAGTTGCCAAAACTATTTATCTGGAGGAAATGTCCTCAGAACCTGCTCTGAGTAATTACGTTTGACCTGTTTGCATCAATCATTTGGATTGCCAACAATCCAAAATATCTAAGTCTTAGTATTCTGCATAATACAAAAATGTAAAATAAACTTAGATCAAAATTTATGAAAAATTAAATCTTAAAGTAAAAATATTTTATTATTTCTGATTTATTTTTAGAGCGTAAATCAGACTCGGCGAATGTAGTGATCAATCGCGGGGACGATCAAAAATATTTGAATTTATTTACTATTGTTAAAAAATTTGTTTTATTTTGATTTTGATTGCTACAATTTAGTTGCTAAAATTAATTATCTGGAGGAAACGTCCTCAGAGCCTACCTTGAATAATTGCGTTAGACTTGTTTTGCAGCAATCATTTGGATTGCCAACAATTAAAAATATCTAGTGGTTATCAGAACGTCGTGTATTTCAGTTCTGCATTATACAAAAATGTAAAATGAACTTAGATCAAAATTTATTAAAAATTAAATCTTAAAGTAAAAATATTTTATTATTTCTGATTTGTTTTTAGAGCGCGAATCAGACTCGGCGACGTAATGATCAATCGGGTATAGATCGCGGGGATGATCAAAAATATTTGAATTTATTTACTATTGTTGAAAAATTTGTTTTATTTCAATTTTGACTGCTATAATTTAGTTGCTAAAATTAATTATCTGGAGGAAACGTCCTCAGAGCCTACCTTGAATAATTGCGTTAGACTTGTTTTGCTGCAATCATTTGGATTGCCAACAATTAAAAATATCTAGTGGTTATCAGAACGTCGAGTATTTCAGTTCTGCATTATACAAAAATGTAAAATGAACTTAGATCAAAATTTATTAAAAATTAAATCTTAAAGTAAAAATATTTTATTATTTCTGATTTATTTTTAGAGCGCGAATCAGACTCGGCGAATGTAGTGATCAATCGGGTATAGATTGCGGGGACGATCAAAAATATTTGAATTTATTTACTATTGTTGAAAAATTTGTTTTATTTCAATTTTGACTGCTATAATTTAGTTGCTAAAATTAATTATCTGGAGGAAACGTCCTCAGAGTCTGCTCTGAGTAAATACGTTTGACCTGTTTGCAGCAATCATTTGGATTGCCACAATCCAATATATCTAGGTGGTTATCAGAACGCCGAGTATTTCAGTTCTGCATAATACAAAAATGTAAAATGAACTTAGATCAAAATTTATGAAAAATTAAATCTTAAAGTAAAAATATTTTATTATTTCTGATTTATTTTTAGAGCGTAAATCAGACTCGGCGAATGTAGTGATCAATCGGGTATAGATTGCGGGGACGATCAAAAATATTTGAATTTATTTACTATTGTTAAAAAATTTGTTTTATTTCGATTTTGATTGCTATAATTTAGTTGCTAAAATTAATTATCTGGAGGAAACGTCCTCAGAGCCTACCTTGAATAATTGCGTTAGACTTGTTTTGCAGCAATCATTTGGATTGCCAACAATTAAAAATATCTACTGGTTATCAGAACGTCGAGTATTTCAGTTCTGCATTATACAAAAATGTAAAATGAATTAGATCAAAATTCATTAAAAATTAAATCTTAAAGTAAAAATATTTTATTATTTCTGATTTGTTTTTAGAGCGCGAATCAGACTCGGCGACGTAATGATCAATCGGGTATAGATCGCGGGGATGATCAAAAATATTTGAATTTATTTACTATTGTTGAAAAATTTGTTTTATTTCAATTTTGACTGCTATAATTTAGTTGCTATAAATTAATTATCTGGAGGAAACGTCCTCAGAACTTGCTCTAAGTAATTACGTTTGACCTGTTTGGATTGCCAACAATCCAAAATATCTAGTGGCTATCACAACGGAGAGTATTTCAATTATGCATAATACAAAAATGTAAAATGAACTTAGATCAAAATTTATTAAAAATTAAATCTTAAAGTAAAAATATTTTATTATTTCTGATTTATTTTTAGAGCGCTTATCCGACTCAGCGAACATAATGGTCAATCGGGTATAGTTTGCGGGGACGATAACAATTATTTGAATTTATTTACTATTGTTGAAAAATTTGTTTTATTTTGATTTTAATTGCAACAATTTAGTTGCCAAAATTGATTATCTGGAGGAAACGTCCTCAGAGCCTGCTCTGAGTAATTAAGTTTGACCTGTTTGCAACAATCATTTGGATTGCCACAATCCAAAATATCTAGTGGTTAATCAGAACACAGTATTTCAATTCTGCATAATACAATAATGTAAAATGAACTTGGATCAAAATGTATGTAAAATTAAATATTTTATTAAAAATATAATAATGTTTCTGATTTATTTTTAGAGCGCGAGTCAGACTCGGCGAACATAATGATCAATCGGGTATAGATTGCGAGGACGATGTTTGCGCAGAACCTGTCCAAGATTTCGATCCTGTGAAAATAATTCCACATCCAGAATACAAAGACGAACTATTTAAACATGATATAGCTCTGATAAAATTGGATAGAAAATATAATAAAAATGGTAATTATTATTTTGTTTTTACATGCATTTATAGAAAATATAGTTCCAATATTTGAGGGTTAAGAAACATCAAACCGCGGTAGTGTAACCAGGGACTAGTAACCATGTATCATGAATTTTTTTTTAACAAATGCTAATATAATATAAACTATGTCAATAGACAAATTATATGTAGTAAGGAAAAAGTTCCAAATTACTAATCATATTTAAATTGTTTAAGTCCTGAACGTAAGGACTTCAACCAAAATCGTTCACCAAAAATTTATAACAATAAAATAGATTACTAAATTGCAATTAAATAAATTACTACATTCCATCAAGCGGATTAAAAATATAATGGACTTTCATTTAACTAACTCTGACTCCAAATCAGCAAAAAATTATATAATTACTACTTATATCAAAATTACAAAACAAATAAAATGCTTAAAACTTTATAAGCTTTAAAATTTTAGTAAATATAACTTTATATTTATTAAAATAATATTACAACTTTATTAAGCGGCAATAATATTAGGTGAGGTAAACTTTAATAGTAAGGACTATCAAGGAAAAATCAGTTATCGGATTTGTAATCTTCGGACTATTACTAGCAATATATCATAAATTTAAAAAAAAATAAAATGTGTTTTTATTGCACTGAGAAAACATCGGTAAACAAATTTCAACTCATTTTAATCATTTGAGAAAAAAAGTTTAAAATCATTATTATGATTATTTACCAATATTTTGCTGTATAAATGTTGTCAAAAACAGAATCATAGTAGAGTTTTGGTTGAGAACAGGGGCACTACAATATATATATATATATATATATATATATATATATATATATATATATATATAATAACTAGTTTGCAAAATAAACTATGCCAAAAAACACCATTTATTAACGATTACCAAAATACCACATAGTTAATTATCAGCATATAGTAAATATAATTTAACTAAGACCATTTTAGGACAAAAATGTAATAATAAATTGTTATAAAATAGTAGTTATATATTAAAATAGCTGATTAATTATGGATCAATTTACAAATCAAAATATGTTGCTAAAAGAATATGTATTAAATAACATATAGTAATAAAATTGTAAAATTTCGTTATTAACAAAGACTAAAATTCGAATTTCAAAAACAAATGGACTAAAAAACAATATTTCGCAACTTATACAAAAATATTAACAACAATTAAATTACTTCATTGATAGCGATTTTAATTAGAAAATATATTAACTGTTATAAACGCTATTCTAGAACAATATGATAATTGTGAGATTGAGTGTGATATTTTAGTAAAGTAAATATTTTCCACATGTACTATAAAATTTGTGCGTAAATTCTATTTTGTTAGGACAATTAATTTTAATAGTTAACTTTTACTAAAATGCCTTGAATAATTATTAGCCAGATATATTACTTATGGATACAATGATTAATTGATTTTTCGAGTTCGACAGTTGTAATTGAGAATTTACACTAATAACTAAAATTTTTAAAGCAAATAGAGAGAGTAATATGTAATAAAAGGATTCAAAACACTTTTCGATTGCACTTTCGAAGTTGAGAACAGATTAACGAAGCTTGTAGTAAAAGCTGGTTGGTTTGGGAATACAGAGCAGAATGTCCAAAATAATTTAAAAATGCTAATGTGCATATTTTAGATAGTATATAATAGAGTAACTTTGAAAAAATTAAAAATAACGTAGCTAAAATATTCAAGTATAAAATTAATTATATTTATAAATAATGTTTTTTTATAAATTTCTCTACCATTTTTTGAGAAATTTTACATACATTTATCATATTTGCACAGAAACATTTTAAAATGCGCTTTCTAAGTTACGTAACTAAATATGAAAAATATTTTTCTAAAGGTTGGGTGTATCCAATTTGTACAATTAGTGGAGACTTGATTTTCAAGGACTATGTGGGGACTTATGCAGAAGTTGCTGGATGGGGCTTTACAGATCGAGACTCAGAAGTACTTGCACATGTATTGCAAACAATTCAGGTAAAATATTTATTTTAATTATATTTAAAATAAAGCTAATTAGATAGCCAAACAATGTTTTTTGTTGTTTAATAAAACATCAACAAATTTGCTACTTACATAAAAATGAATATATCAAAAGCAGCCTATAATCTACGTAGAATATTTAATTCGATCATTTCACCCATTCGATTATGGAATAAATTCTTATAATTCAAATTTAAACATATATAAATTTAAATTAATATTGGTAAATTGCATTTTATTTTACACAAGCAATAGTATTCTAGTTCAGGTTGTAGTATTCTATATTTCAAACTTTAATTTTCATTTTTTAATTTAAAATTTCATTTTTAAATTTTAATATTCATTTTTGTATTTCTGTAATCTAAAATAATTAAATAATATGCATGCGCTTTAAAGAAATTAAAAACAATGACGATAGATGAAAATGTGCAATAAATTGGGGGTTTCCCATTTAAAAACTAAATTTCTAAATATTTCTAGAAAATTTTTTAGTTATTTTTGTTGTATGGTTCATGAATTACACATGGTTGGTCATGAAAATCTAGAACCGAATTAATTGTAATTCGATTATGAAAGCTATTCATATTTATCACATTTTATTTTACACAGCAATAGTATTTTAGTCCAGGTTGTAGTATTCCATATTTCAAATTTTATATACATTTTTGTATTTCTGTATTCCAAATTAATAAAATAATATGCCTGCATTTTATCGATAATAACAAAGACGATAGATGAAAATGTGCAATAAATTGTGGGTTTTCCATTCCATTTGAAAGCTAAATTTTTGAATATTTCTTGAAAAAATTAGTAGTTATTGTTGTTGAATAGTTCATGGATTACATGAATGGTTGATTCAAATGTAGAATCGAAATGTTTAATTCAGAAGTACTTGCACATGTACTGATAGCAACACAGGCAAAATATTTATTTTAATTTAATTTTAATATGAAGTCACTTAGATAGCCAATCAATTTTTTTATTGCTTACTAAAACATCAACAAATTTGCTACTTATATGAGAATAATAAATCAATCTTCGTGAAATGTTTATTTTGGTTACTTTTTAATTATAATTCGATTATGTAAGCAATTCTTTAATTCAAATTTAAACATATATAAATTTAAATTAAAATTTGTAAATTACATTTTATTTTACACAAGCAATAGTATTCTAGTTCAGGTTGTAGTATTCTATATTTCAAATTTTATATTCATTTTTTGTATTTCTATATTCCAAAATAATTAAATAATATGCATGCGTTTTAGAGAAAGCAACAATGACGATAGATGAAAATGTGTAATACATTGTGGGGGTTCCATTCCATTTAAAAGCTAAATTTTTAAATATTTCTTGAAAAAATTTTTAAATATTTTGTTGTTACACATGGTTGGTCATGAAAATCTAGAATCAAAATGTTTAATTCAGAAGTACTAGCACATGCAAGCAATACAAGCAAAATATTTATTTTAATTTAATTTTAATATAAAGCTAATTAGATAGCCAAACATTTTTTAAATTTTAATAAAAAATCAACAAATTTGATACATATATGAGAATAAGTAAATCAATCTTCGTAAAATGTTTATTTTAGTTACTTTTTAATTACAATTCGATTATGGAATCAATTCTTCTAATTCAAAGATACACATATATAAATTTAAATTAAATTTGGTAAATTACATTTTATTTTACACAAGCAATAAAATTTTAGTATTGTAGTATAATAATATTATAGTATTCTCTATTTCAAATTTTATGGACATTTTTCTGTATATTTTTAAACCAAATTAATTAAATAATATGCCTGCGTTTTATAGAAAACAACAATAACGATAGATGAAAATGTGCAATAAATTGTGGGTTTTCCATTCCATTTAAAAGCTAATTTTTAAATATTTCTTCAAAAAATTTGTATTTATTGAATAGTTCATGGATTACATGGATGGTTGATGCAAATCTAGAATCGAAACTATTAAACTGTCTATTTATGTGATTTTGAAAATTAAAATTTGAGTATCGCAAAAAACATATTTTGTACGTTAAAATGTAAAATTATAACTTTCCTATATTTTGCGATAACTGCTTATAAAAATAGTTAGATCAATAAAATAGTACGATATTATCAAAATTATCTTATTTGTAATTATATTGCATGTGACATTTTTATGAAACACATATGTGAACTCATACAGGTGAAAAAGTCATCTGGAACGCTTATATTTTTTTTAAATAAGCACTCAAAATGATAATATAATTGAGTTCATGAAAATAAATTTATATTCTATTCATTATTAATTTTTATTAAGTCATTAAGACATTAGTTTTTTATTTGTTTTTTTTATATTTTTTATAATAAAATAATAAAAAAAGTTGAGCGACTAAAGTAAAAAAACGCTTATAGTTATAAATTATTAAATTAAATAAAAAAATTAAATTAATATTAAATACATCGTTAAGTTAATAAAAATTATAATCATATTCTTTAATAATTTTTGTTGAGATAAAAATATAAAAAAATTGTAATATGTAAGGAAAAGGAGCAGAAGCCAATACAATAAAATACGAATTATACACAATATAAGATATATATATATATATATATATATATATTATTACACTTTCAAAGAAGAGTTTCGTAAAAAATCGAGTTGAATATGGCAAAGTAAATGTCCTGCAGGATATAAATAATATGTAAGGCTGAACTTTTTATATATCATTATACATCAAATTTTTATATGTAATTATAATTATTTATAAATGATTTTGATCAAAATTAGTAAAATAAATTAATTCAAATTCGGAACTAATTTAAATATCAAATATTTTCAAAACAAAATAATAGTTTTGATCCTAGTAAATATATCAATCTTTCAATCAGAAATTTAAAATGACAAATATATGATATTTTTATTTATGAGTGAGAATGGATAACCAGAGTGGAGAATACCACAAAAACCTGGGTAATCTATGATACAATGAGGTTATGATGAGGTTTTTACTAAATAATTTTGCTGTACTTAAATAAAACATAATACGTACACATCTATCAATGAATGTGTAGAAAAAATTATGGTTTGATTCTAAAGTTGTTTCACGTTTTTCAAAAACTCAAAAACTATGGACTATGGTGCTTCTATTTCTAATAGAGCAAAAATCAAGTAAAATGTAAATGTAAAGATAAATTGCGTATAGTATGCAAACTATCTGGAGATAACATTTATAAAGATATCTAATGAATAATCAAACCTTTAAAAAGGTATGAAGTCTTAGGATGATCTATTTTAGTAACCAACTTCGTATATATATATATATATATATATATATATATATATATATATATACTCTAGGAAAAATTATCAGCTAATATAACAACAAAAATATAATGTGAATGGTTTTGATATAAAAAGCCAAAAAAAATTTGTTTCTTGTCTGCATACATATTAAAACATTCAAACGAATCTAAAAAAATGCTAGAATAGAAGTGCTGGAAATCAAATACTATTTGTTTTCAATGCTGGAAATCAAATACTATTTGTCATTATCCAGATCAAATTGAAAAATAAATTTACTCTTAGAAAAAAAAAGTTATTGATAGTGAGAAAAGTTAATTATTTTATTAATAACAGCAGCTTTTTGATCAATAGATGTGTTAAATGCGATAAAAATCATCCAATTCGAAAAATGTATCAAAAAGCTACAAAAATAAAATTAAAGAAGTTAGTTTTACAAAAATAGTAGATGAAATTATTTTCCAATAAAAAAATAAAAAATATCAAAACATACATATTTTGATATCAAAATCCAAAAATATTAAATAAAAAAAAATGTTACGATCGAACTTAAAGACCAAGACCTGCAATCCCAGAGTGATTTATTTACAAAGGTCTACAAAGATCATCGATATCAAATATGTTGACAAAACGAGACAAGGTAGAAATTCATATACGAAACCCTTTAGAAAAAAGCAGAAATACCTTCTGTGCCATTCAAGATTTTGAAAACAAATACTAACGCCTAATAGCTCATTTAGATTGGCAAGTTAAATTATGGTATAATAACATTAAAGAAGTCAATTTCAAGAGAGTCAATTAGCACTTCTTGTGAATCACAAAAACTCAATGTAATAGGCCAAATTAGATGAGGAAAAGAAGGACTCAAATTCTTTTCCGAATCTAGGAAAATACACTTTGCAGCACATTTGCACTATGCACCTAAAATGTTGCACCTAAACGTAAATCTCTTTGAAGCTGAGCATAATCTGCATCAACAAATGTTGTGGTCCACAAAATAATAAAGTTTCTATTTGTGATAATATCATTCTCAAAAGCATTAGATCAATATAATATGAGATCGATACCCTTGTAGATTTATTATTCATTATTAAAAATATATATTATTAGAAATTTTTTTATAATATAAAAGCACACGGTTTTCATGCAAAATATAATTTATATTTAATATTGTGGAGTGTTGTGGGAGACAGATAATGAAAAGAAGATGTTAGATAAAAATCTTTAGATTGTCGATTTTTTAAATATAATTTTGTGGGTGGCAGAAATTAGAAGACTACTATATAATTCACAACTGTATCTTTAGTCGACATCTAGTAAATGTAAAGATAATAAAATTAGATTACATATGTACAGACAAATAATTTGGCAATAGTAGAAATAGCCAGTGTAACTACTACTTCAAATACAAAATACATTTACTTGATTGTGTTTTGATAATCTAGAAATTTTTAATAAAATATATAATTTGTAAAATAATATATAAAAGCACAAGGTTTATATGTAAAATAAAATTTTTGTTTTGATGTGGAGGACTGCTATGGGACGCCAACCATAAAAAAGAAGATTACACAGTTTATTTGTAAAATAAAATGTATGTTTTGATAATATAAATATTATTGATAAATTTAATTATCAGTGATATTGTATTTCTAAAATATCACTTAAATTAATTCAAAAACTATCATTATAAAAATATAG